GAAAGAGTGAGCACCACTTCATATGTTCTCAGACTGCCAGGCTGCCTCCATGCCCCTGTGTTGGATACAGCAGAAATCACCCACCAATCAGCCCAGGGTGAACCAACAGGGAGGGGCTAGTCACACTTGAACTACAGCCAGACTCCCTTCCACAGCAGTAACTGGCTCTAGCCTGGACTCCTATAGGAATCAGGCTCTGGCAGTGACAGCTGGAGAGGGTAAAAGGACCGCCTGCCGAATGAAGGAAGTTGGGTGAATGGATGGGTGAACTGCAGGGGTCACTTGCAAATGGACTAGGAGTGACAAGGAAACAACAGCTCATTCAGGCAGATGCTTTTGACATCTGGCTCCCTGCAGCATTAGAGGAAGCCGTCTCCCAGTGGGAGAGTCATGGGGTGGGAGGCCATTTTCTCACTACTGAGTCTCTAGGGGCCAGGGCTGCAGGGCACAAGCTCCCGGGCCCCCGTCTCAGCCGCCCCCTCTCCTCTGCTCTCACTCCCTGTGCCTCTTCTTGTGCTTCTTCTTCTTCTTCTTCTTCTTCGCCGCCTTGCTGTCCTTGGACGTGTGCCTTGCCCTCTTGCCGGCATCACTCTCAGAGTCTGAGCTGTCCGAGTCAGATGACTTCCTGTCTCTATGTTTCTTTTTCTTCTTTTCCTAAAAAGAAAATTTAAAAATTCAACATTGTGTATGTATATTTGCCTTTAAAAATCATGACATGTGATTACTAGAGGACCACTTGATATACAAAATATTAATTAAAAATAAATTATATCTTCAAGTATTAACAAGAAAAAATGCCCAAAGCAAGTAAAAGGATCAAGTCCTGCTACAGTATGTATTCTAGATTCCAGTGTGTTTAACATACATACCATACAATGTGTATATGTATATTTACATGTGCCTGTATATATTTAAAATACACAGAAAACAGTGGAAGGCACACAAAGTAGTAACAAATATTACCTTGGGAATGTATTGGGGTCTTTCACTTTTTACTTCAGATAATTGTCCAATTTGATTTTTTTAAAACAAGCATTTATTACTTTCATTTGTAAAAACAAATATTGAAGCTGAAAGGAGTCCTTAGAGACCACCTAGTCTACTTAGAGAGTGCCTCACATGCCCAAGGTCACAGGCTAAGAGAGTAATAGATGTAGGACTCCTGACTCCCAGTCTGGTTTCTATTAGCTCCTGCTGCCAGGGTAAATAACTGCCATCAATTAGTAAGGCTCTACCTGCTGCCCTTGAATACTTATCATCTCTAACCTTCATAACAATTTTATATTATTTTATTGATAAAAAATTAAGGAAGAACTTCCTCAAAACTACCCACTACACCAGGGGTCCTCAAACTTTTTAAACAGGGGGCCAGTTCACTGTCCCTCAGACCATTGGAGGGCCGGACTATAGTTTAAAAAAAAACTATGAACAAATTCCTATGCACACTGCACATATCTTATTTTGAAGTAAAAAAACAAAACGGGAACAAATACAATATTTGTATTTGCATGTGGCCCGCGGGCCGTAGTTTGAGGACCCCTGCACTACACCTTGCTGCCAGAGTAACAGCACAAACTCACATAAAATATGGGAGGCAGGTTCCTAGGCTTTTGTGGGGTGCGCTGGGCAGTTTTTCAGCTTTGCGTCAACCTTCTTGAATTGTAAATGTTTATATTGCCTTAGTAAGCTTTCTAAGAAGGAGAGATTACAGGAAGAGAAAGAAACATAGAGTAGAAGAACACGAAGCTCCTGCTCTTATAGGTTTTCAACCAGCATCCGGAAAGCTGTGAGTTTCCCTGAGTGATGCACCAGGTCTTAGGAGCTGACAGTGAGGAGAGAGAGAGAGAAAGAGAGAGAGAGAGAGAGAGGGAGGACACCAAACCAGGTGTTAGAGACTTGAGCTCTGGCTTTGCCACTTACTAATCTGTAACCTTGGGCACATTATTTCACCTTTACCAAGTTTCCTCAAATGTAAACAGATAAGAATAGGAAAAAAAAAAAAAAGGCAAGAGAAAGGTCACATGGCTGTGGTTAAGATTTAATGAGATAGTATCTGTGGCTGGAGAAGCTGAAAGCCACTTGCCCCAGATCCCACAGGCAGGGTTGGGATCTGCATATAGATCATGGGACTGGAAATCTGAATTTTCCTCTGTAGCATACAGCCCCTCTTCTTCTTTTTTTTTTTAACTGGTAAAACCGTGCACTCCTTTTAATTCGTGTTTCCTTCTTGGTCGCTACTTTGGTAACAAGTAGGTCCCCATCTCTCAAGAATATTGCATCTGAACAGACTGAGCCAGAGCCAGTGTGAACACAGGCCCCAACCAGGGCTTCTGGAATAACAAGAACAGCAAAACCAGGTTCTTCTTTTTAGAAAGTCTCTGTGAGTCGGAGGGTCCAAAGCTCCACTCTCTAGAAAGAAAACCTGGGCCTCAATATAAAAATGGAAACCAAAATGTATCAGAAATGAAGCCTAGTACCCTCATATACTCAAGGTCAAGATGTTTTTTGAGAAATAAGTATCTGATTATCTGGCCTCTTGTATTAGGAATGGCCCCATTCCAGCATTTTTAAAGGAAGATGTTTTTGTTTCTATTTCATTTCCCAAACGGGTATAAAATCTACTAAAAGGGAGATAATGAATCAGAATAAATCAGCTCACAAGAGACACTCCTAGATAATGATTTTTAGTTGCTGAGAGTATTCAGCACATTATTTCAAAGTGGCAAACTTAGAGGTAATCTCAGAGGAGAATTCAAAAACAGTAGCCACAGTCACTGGTAGAGGAGTTATGTGAGATACAAACATATAACCCCATGTTTTTCAGTGTATATGTCAAGGGGCCAAACCCCCTGATCATCAAAATAAGTTATTTTGTAAATTACAGTTCACAGA